GTCACTTAATACATTATTATAGTATTTTTGACTTCAGTGCACAATGGAACTCTTTGCTGTTAGCTTTTCGGTGTGCATGTAAATATAATTGTTCCAAGGATACCTCAAGAATCAATCATCAAATTTCAATAAAACTTGCTACATAGATGCTATCAGACAATGCACAGACCTGATTAGTTTTGGGTTAAAATCATGGAAATTATTTTCACTAGCAGTAAAATCAGTGCACTACGATCTTATTTTACAATAACATTTACATTATAAAATTATCACTGATTCTTGAACAAAAATTAAACCAAAGACATGGTCCTTTTTACCAACAAATTATTAATTTCTGTCAATATCTAGTTTTCATTTTTTTTTCATTAGTTTTGTGATGTATCATGGGGTTAGCTTTTAATAACCATGTGGCATAAATTAGAATTTTACCATAGATGTTCTTAGATACTACACATGCATCATAAGATGCTGTTCCAAATTTCCTAAGATCTTTCCTACTCACTCATTTTGGTACATAGAATCTCCAGGTTAATTCGTAGGCGTGTTGGGTTTAGGGTTGAAATCTGTGCATATTAATGTCTAATTTACATAAATATCTGCCAAGTTTAACAGATATCTCAAGAAATACTTAACTTTAATACTCCACATAGTGTGAATTCAGATTTGTTGTATCTATTGTATTGATATATATTTGTCAGCAACTGTTTCAAGTGTTTCTTTTCTTTTCACAGATATTAGCATCGTTTGATATACTCCGATACTCCACCATAGTGTGTACTCAGATCTGTGATCACCTTGGCATCTACTGCTTTGATATAACAAAAACAAAGACTCCAAAAGATACTGATGAGGTCAAAAAAGTCGTGACAAGATCCCAGACTGCTAATGCTAAGCACAGGTCAAGTACTGGTACCTCATAGTGGATACTCTGCAAAGGGGAAAACAATTTTTTTTCAAAAAACAAAACAATATTTTAAGACTATTTGAAAAGAGAGAAACAAGTTGTAAGAGCAAACATGATGTGTAATAATAATGATTCAGATTCAGGGCACTTGATATGTGTTTGTAGTGGTGGCCAAACTGTGCCCCAGAATCAGAATAATAAAACTCCAGATTAAGCATGGTGATGCATGTTTATTGGAGTCTTTAGTCTGTAGATTCTCTGCACCTCTAAGTATTTTAGTATTTCTTAATGTTTTAAATCATTTATGGACATCTTGGGTTATTCTTGATTTCAAGATGATTCGTTGTAATGTTTGTTTGTAGTTGGGGAAAACACAAATTTTTAGAGTGCTTGCATTTCTAGTTAATGGTTTGATTCTAGAAATGTCTGAAGTTCAATTTTATGAATCATTGCACGTTCTAGTTATATTGGTCATTAAGTGGAAATGAACAAAGCTACAGTGGTAGGCTGTTAAAAGCCATTTTACCACCATTGTCAAGTTTTTTATCTTTCCACAAAGAAATCCTGTTTGAAATCTCATTTTCCTGAAAGATCCTAATCATAGTACAGAATTATATAAGCAATATCATTATATGCCGATTCGGTTGAAATTAACGTTGTCTCATTAATTTTTTGAAAAAGTTGAATATGCAGCAGTGTCTGTATCTCGCACATTCACTTGTGACACTTTAATTACCATGACAATTTCATAATCTTGTAAATTCCAACGAATATAACATTTAATTACACACATTTTTATGCATTGGCTCAATGTGATTGAATTCTATGATCGTGATCGGATGAAGGTTATAATATAAGCATCTTTCATCTTCAGCATTGTTATGTGTGTCGTGAAATACATTGTTTGCATGCAATTTGAACTTGCCCACAACATAACAATGGCATTGTAACTGACAATGGTGTAATCACATGATGTGACACTATTGCCCTACAACACAACAATGGCATTATAACTGACAATGGTGTGATCACATTACGTGACACTATTGCCCTACAACACAACAATGGCATTATAACTGACAATGGTGTAATCACATGATGTGACACTATTGCCCTACAACACAACAATGGCATTATAACTGACAATGGTGTGATCACATTACGTGACACTATTGCCTTACAACACAACAATGGCATTATAACTGACAATGGTGTGATCACATTACGTGACACTATTGCCCTACAACACAACAATGGCATTATAACTGACAATGGTGTAATCACATGATGTGACACTATTGCCCTACAACACAACAATGGCATTATAACTGACAATGGTGTGATCACATTACGTGACACTATTGCCTTACAACACAACAATGGCATTATAACTGACAATGGTGTGATCACATGGTGTGACACTATTTGCCTACAACACAACAATGGCATTATAACTGACAATGGTGTGATCACATGGCGTGACACTATTGTCCTACAACACAACAATGGCATTATAACTGACTATGGTGTGATCACATGGCGTGACACTATTGCCCTACAACACAACAATGGCATTATAACTGACAATGGTGTGATCACATGGTGTGACACTATTGCCCTACAACACAACAATGGCATTATAACTGACAATGGTGTGATCACATGGCGTGACACTATTGCCCTACAACACAACAATGGCATTATAACTGACAATGGTGTAATCACATGATGTGACACTATTGCTCTACAACACAACAATGACATTGTAACTGACAATGGTGTAATCACATGATGTGACACTATTGCCCTACAACACAACAATGACATTGTAACTGACAATGGTGTAATCATATGACATGACATGACACTTTTGCCCTACAACACAACAATGGCATTGTAACTGACAATGGTGTAATCATATTACGTGACACTATTGCCCTACAACACAACAATGGCATTATAACTGACAATGGTGTGATCACATGACGTGACACTATTGCCCTACAACATAACAATGGCATTGTAACTGACAATGGTGTAATCACATGACGTGACACTATTGCCCTACAACATAACAATGGCATTATAACTGACAATGGTGTAATCACATGATGTGACACTATTGCCCTACAACATAACAATGGCATTGTAACTGACAATGGTGTGATCACATGACATGACACTATTGCCCTGATGAGTCTAAAACACAATTTAATTTACATATTATATCAAGTGCAATAAAACTACAACAGAAATGAAGAGAACACAATAACATGCCTATATAGTATTTGTTTGTCAAGTTTATATATTTCAGGAATAACTAACATATTCAGCAAAGTCATTCTGGCTTGTCAAATTTCAATTTTTGTCAATTTCCCAATATTTCTAAATTGATATATCATTCATTTCTCCCATGTGAGTTTATTCTCTGTTGTATAAACGCCTGGAATGTGGAATTTCAAACAAAAAACGTGTTTTCAATTATATTAATCCCAATAAGTATTTAGTATAACGCTGTTTTTAAAAGTCCTGTAATTTTAAATGGCAACTGGTCCATTAAATCCTGAAAAGGAATCCACATAATATTTACTTAGTCATTGTTATCTCTCGTACCTTACTGATTTCAGAATATGAGAAAATGGCTTTTGAAGAAAATCCTAAATTCGTTTTATATATTGTATTTGTAACCCAAAGTTAACTGTTACCATGGAAACAGACATTTTTTCAGGTTTTTTTTCTAAATTTGGATCAAATCCTATAGCCAACAGAAAATGATGTCTAAAAATTATCCTAAAAATTATCCTAAATATTATCCTAAATTATCCTAAATAATTTTTCAAAAGTACATAAAAAAAGCATAATACTGCACCAATATTTCAGAGAAAAAAAATATGCTGATGGATTTATTTTGTTCCTGAAGTTTCTAGAATTAAAAATTAGCAAATATGATTGTGTATTTAGTCTTTCTCAACAAAGTGAAGAATTGTGGTTACTATTTTTGTTGTTGTAATTAAAAATAAAGTACCGGTATATTAAGTAAAATTTGGTATGTACATATTCCAATTTTTGGAAGAATGTATTGGGATAAAAACCAACTATAGTTATCATTAAATTATAGGTCGTCAGAAATCTCCTGACTAGAATCGGATGGTGCTGAAGAAATTATAAATACAGATGACCTGTGTCATGAGATATGCTAATAAAAATAGATTCTTTTGATGGGAATACCATGTTTGAATTGTTATACAAATACAACGGTTGTTTTATTATTTTGGCAAGAACTGGTAAAAGGTATGGGTTAATTAAGTCAAATGTGAAATAGAAAAATATGCATCACATAGATTAAATCAAATCCTGTTCTGTTAAGTTTCATGTGTGCTGAGCCATTTTGTTGTCATCGTTAATTTGCATGTAATTTGCATATGCCTGCTCATTACATTTAGTGCTACAAATAATGATAAAAGAATCAACATGTCCATAAATGCAGTGTTATGTGCGATAGGTTAATCTGTTGTTATGTAAATAGAAATTGTCATGACCTTTGTACTGTGAACAGCTGATCATATTCTGAAACTTTGGAATGAAATACATTTTTATATTTGTTGTAAGGTGTGTAATATTAACATTTGCATTTTGATTCCATCTGAGATTTTAAACTGTTCACATACAATAGAATACAATAACAAAACATAGAGTAAGAATTCCACCACTTGTAGCACATGTTTAGGAAGTTCTGAATATGCCTCTGTCAGCTATTTTATCCTCGGCCTGTTTTGAATTCTAATTTTTATTTAGAAATGCATTCCTGTAATAAAAATAATATTCTAAAAAATAATATTCTAACATTGCATCAGAATGATGTGTTACTTGTTATGATTTCTAAAAGATACTAGACAAGTCTAAAAATAGACAAATTCATGTATGTTAGAGTAGCAAAAAAAAATATGTTTTTTTGTTGAGGGCATAATGAAAAAAAGAAATAAAGTAGTATCTAACTACTAATGGTGGACACATAGGGTGTCTGGTCATTGTCTTTCATATACAAGAAAGCAAGTAGCTGATTTTTGGTAAAAAGGTTCAAGTCATACTTTTTCACCATATGTTCATTGTTATGGATGTCCTCTGAGTACCGAAAATGAATTTGTTAATCATTGAATTATTTTTTTAGTTCAAAATGTCATCAAAATTTTCAGTTTTGCACTATGGTGAAATATTTTTACAGATGTTGAAATATTAGTTTGTGACATGGGATCTTCAAGACATACATTATTAAAATAGATTCTAATAATGTTATAAAATTAACGTTCAGTTTACTGATTCCAGTGTGTCATTACAATAATGCATTGCATACATGTTCAATAACTTGCTCAAATAGTGCAAAATTTGACTCAAACTGCCTTAATAATTATTTCAATATGTCTTTCATGGTCTGTAATGTATAGTACATCAATCTGCTATTTAATTTGTTCATCTTTTTTTCTACACTCAATTTTTTTTACGAAATTCATCACATATGTTCCATGCGTAGTAATTTGTATCCTGTAAGTAGTACCAAGGACTTGTATAAGATAAAGGATGTAACTTTCATAGCCATATACAGTGATATATTCAATGGTGATCTTACAAGAAGCAAACTTATGAAATCAACAAATGCTGGAAAGTGATCCTATTCCTGTGGGCATCAATTATAAGTAGTTCTAACCAATAGTGTAAGAGAACACAGTGGGTGCATGGAGCAGTTTAATTGTGTAAACAGTAATGAGAGAGATTTTCACCGTATTCAAAATGCAAAGTACATGCATTACTCACTTCCTAGTCAAGGACACTACCAAAAAAAGTTAACAGATTCAATAATTTGCATTAAGATTTTTTAGAGTAGATTTTGTGATCATCTTGCAGTTCCCACAAGATTTTCATTGCATATCGCACTTTGCATATTCTAATCTAGGTCTGTACTGTTTTTATTTACAAATCAATGAATTTTCATGCAACATCAAATCCACTAAAATTCAACCCAGTGAATATTTGATTTTTTTTCATATTATTTATTGTCATGCGTTATGCATTGTTCATAACACCTGTTTATTCCTGTAACACTACACTTGTCTCTTTATGTGTATGCAGATTAGTAAACTGCTACACTTTACACAATAGGTATTGTAAACACCACACTTTAAGCACCACACTTAGTACAATAGAATCTTGTAAGCACCACACTTAGAACAATAGAATCTTGTAAGCACCACACTTAGAACAATAGAATCTTGTAA